GAAATGATGTTAAAAGATGAAGCCTTTAAAGCAAAGCCTAGGTGAAAAAGAGCGTTTTGGCCAGATGCCTGGAAAAGAATAAGGTAGGTGCCAGGCAAAGGGGGAAGGCCAGTCCACAGGGGTTGTGCTACAGTTAAAATAGAATATACGTCTTCACCTGCCAACAGTGCCCTTGTGATCTTTACAGCCGGTATCTCTCTCTACACAATTGAACATATACAAATATGACATTGTAAAGGTCAACTATCAGACACAGGGGGAGAAATGTTATAGTCTCTCAGAACATTATTTTATTTTTGGAATTAGAACTACCACTGCTAAAGTTTTTCATAGTGACTGAATCTGAGTTCACTTGCAAAAGTAATTGTGGTGTCCTAATTATCATTTCATGCATATAGAAACCTCTCTGTTGGGTGTGTAGACCCTCATTAATACCAGGGAGACACCTAATTCCGGGTGGAGTTTGTATTTTAACTCTTGCAGTTTGTTTGCCTTTATCTTTTATGTATGTAGTTAAATAAAACACACTGTTCACAACTGGCTCTCATTTTAACCATCCAGTATAAAATTTCAGTATAAAATTCAATATAAAAGACAAATAAGTGGGTTCTAGATTAACTTAAGCCTAGAAGCTAAAATGACTAAACTGAGGCTATACTTTGGACACATTATGAGAAGACAAGAGTCACTGGAAAAGACAGTAATGCTAGGCAAAGTGGAAGGCAGCAAAGGAAGACCCAGCATGGGGTAGATTGACTCAATCAAGGAAGCCACAGCCCTCAGTTTGCTAGACCTGAGCACACAGGACATTTTGGAGGTCATTAATTCATAGTCACCATAAGTCAGAAGCGACTTGATGGCACTTAACATACACATAAAATCTTCCAACTTTTATCCTGTTTATTTGAGGAAATTACCTTTCCAGAACTCTTTCCTTTCTTTTAGCTGAAGCTGCCATAGCCTGAAGCTGCAATTGTCTGCTAGCAAAAGGATGTTGTGTACCACGGAACAATGGCCTGTCTCCAGTAAAAGCAATTGCTAGTCTCTTTCATACATTCTGACTGGGGAGAATGAATGACATGGCAAGCTCTACCCGGACCTACATTCCAATGAGAACACATGTGTTAGGAGTAGGGCTCATCACTGTGGTCCCATTCCCCCATTCCCCATGTGCTTTCATTCTTCCAAATTTTATTCTTCCAAATTAAAGGACTGCTGCAAAGCAGCTGACTGCACTATAGAGATTCTTGTTCCCTGTTTCTGTTCTTCTTAACCTGTCTTACCTTACCCTGACAAAATGCCTTCCTTTGCTAGTTTGCAGAGGATAATGGCTGAGAAAGCTACTATTTAGTGCTTGCGTTTCATCATCTCTCTTCTTTGTGGGACAGTTATCTGAGCCTTTTCTCAATTCCATTGCTCTAATGCTACATAAAACCATTAAGGCAGATGAAAGGAGATACGACGCAACTCAACAGTGTGTCAAATTAGAGGAAATATGTTGGCAGAGATACGGAGCATCACATTTCTGAAGAGTAATGGATGATTTTCAAATTTACCACATTATCACAGAAATAAATTCAAGTGATCTGGAGAGATTTATATCACTTAGTGTTGCATTTTCCCCCTATTAGAATGATAATTTCAAAATTATCTCACTTTTCCCTCCTCCTTTAGGATTATGAGCATATACACGAGAAAATAATCAACAAAATGGTGTTTACTAAACTGACAGCCATTTGAGCATCGATAAAGGACAAAGCAAATTTTGAACTGATATAAATGTACTTGATACAGTTCAGGTCACAATCAATATTGTTATAATTAGAACGATCAGAGCTGAATCTACTCTAAAGCTCCTTTAAAAAACCCCAATACTTCCCCCATCCATGTCAATGGAGAGTACCAAAAGCATCTGACACTCCAATTTTGGTCACTGCTATTATGTTGAAATACTGGCACTGATGCTATTAGGATGCTTCAAGACCCAATGAGAAAGGTAGAAATATAATTATCTTTGATGTGGTACAAGAACTGGAAAGGAACATCCTCTTTCCTTCTCAGTGGACGTATATTAACTTCTGCCCTTGAACTCTTCATAGTCATGCCAACAGGCTTCATGAATGGGACAAAGACAACAGTGGACATTTGCAGAACCCTGCAGGAAAGACCACTGAATAACACATTATGCCTGCCATTTAGGTGCCACCAAAAATGGTATCTCCATAGCAATTTCTTCCCCTTCTCACTTGCAGCATCTAGGAGCCTTAGACATATGACACAGTCAGTTTTCCCACCTCTTTGTCATGGCAGTGGTTACTTTTGGAACAGAAAAAGTAGCTCACAGTGAGGAGTTATGGATAACATCAAATGGCTGTTACAGCAAAAAGAGGAGAAACTCAAGATGGGGGCACCACAGCTGCTGTGAAGATGCACAAACATCCATTACTGTCCTGCAGGATACTTCTGCAAAAGAGGTATGCAACCTTCTTGAGAAGCTTCCCTTGTCTTACCAACATACCAAGCAGGAACCTCCAATGTTATTTACACCCCAAATCCAATAACAATTGAATTCCTAGATCAACTATTTCCATTGTGTGTGGTTTCTTGATCACTTTCTTAATCAGCTCCAGTCTCTCAACAGGACATCTGTACTGATCAAAATGCCTGAACTTGGATTGTAATCATTTTGTGCATGCATGGTCACACAAGGCTTTGCCATTCCCTCTGTCTCCACCTCTGCAATGCACCACAGAATTTCTTTTGTCTGAAGAAAACGAATTCTTATGCCCAAAGGAGGAAAAAATCAACTTACAAAACAGCTTTTTTGTTATTTTTATTTTGTATTTCCAAAAGGTGTGCCCCTTCCCAGCTAAGAAAGGCTTGACCATGTACATTTCATTCCTAGTTTTGTGGTGTTCTCTGCAAAGTAATGCACTGAGTCCTTACCCAGTGCATCAAAACTGCAATTGGCCAAGCCTTGGAGGAGGAAATGGGAAAATGTTGCCAGCTAATGAATGCCACAAAGTGCTCAAGCACAAAAGCCACATATACAACCTAACTTAGCTGCTGTCAAAAGAAACATTCCATGTTGTCTAATCAAGCATCTGCCAACTACCTTTCACAAGCCAGTGTGGGCAAGAGTCTAACTCTCAATTTCTTGCTTCATTCTTCCCAAGAATAAAGAAACTGACAATGTTTGGGGCTATTCACTGGGAACATCAGAAAAAACACACAATACAATATGATTCAATAACATATTCCCTTTATATACAGGAGTAACAGATCAAAGGAAGAAATGCAAGACTAAAGTGAAAAATATAAAAGACTTAACAGTGTAATGCAAACTGTTCTTGAAAAAATGTTTTCACATCCAAGGGAAAATAGACATGAGATAGCAAAAACTGAAATAATATGTCTTTTCCAAGAATACTGGAAACACTGAAAGCAATCACTCCAGGAAAAGTCGTGTGTAATTTGAAGTCAATTAAACTCAGAGCTCCCAAAGCTGCTGAGATTAACCTTCAGAATCTTGAAACAAATAATAGAAAGACTGGGTTGAATCCAACATGTTTATGAATGGAATGAAGTTTTTTTTACTACCTTCTCCTAGATGTCCCCTAAGGGATATTTCAGCTGATACCTCCTTCTTACTGGTAACCTCCCATGTTGTATGGCATAGCATGCAAGAGGGGCCCTGTTTGACTCTTATTATCAGCTCTTCAAGGGACACAGGGAGCTCCTGGGGGAAGGGAAAAAGCAAATTTTGAACTGATATAAATGTACTACATTGACAATCTTTGTACATTGTTCATATTTCCCACACAGTATAAACAGGTTCTTTTGCCACAACAATGAGATTCAATCCTACCAAGAATTAAGTTTTATTTAAAGCACAAGTCTTCCAAGCTACCTCTTGATACAGTTCAGGTCACAATCAATATTGTGATGGACAGTAAATGGTTAATGATTTAAACCAGTATGAGAACCTTGAGTGACAGGGGATTCAAACAGAATCATACGGTTAAGAGTGTCAGTAAGAAGTGGAAGTTAAGAAATGAGAGTTGACTGGGAAGGAAGGTTAAGAGAGTGAGAGGGTTAAGAAGGATCCCCATTCAACCCTGAGGGAAATAACTCCTAGTAAAAGGGGGTGATCCCTATTCAGTCTGAGGGGAATAGCTCCTGGAGAAGGGGGTGATCCCTATCAAGTGATTAAGAATGGATGAATATTCCTGCCTTCACCAACTTTTTAAGTGCTTTTTAAGCAGAGACTGCTAAGAAATCTCTGCTCAGTGTTTAAAAACCTGTTTGTGTTTGTGACAAACTACTTATTGCTTATATTTATACACAGTTACCTCATTCCTGTTGGCTGTTCACCTCCTATGTCCTAAAACTGATACCTATTTGACCATTTCTCCTAATAAGTATAATAAAATAGTTTGTTAATTTTGAATTACCATCAGCCTCTCATGTGCTATTATTGACCAAAAAATAAAGAAGGATTTTAGTTGGTCCCTTAGATCCCTAGACTGGGTCAGCACAGATCTATATACATTTAAACAACTGAGTGGGACAGACAAAAACAAAGAAAGAAAAGGGCTGCCTAGTCAAGAAGAAGATAAAGAGATCCTGGGGAAATTGACATAGCAGTAACACTAGCTTTCATGAACTCACTCCATTCATGGAAGCATTCGATCCAAACCATTCTACTGAATAATTTTATAATTACTTTCAATACTGGACATATTAGGGGAAGTTCCTATTGCTACCAAGAGAGTGGAATTCTAAATACTCAGAGTGTTTTCAGATCGAGGTGGCATGGTTGAGTGATTGGTAACTATTGGGGAAACCTCAATCACGATAACACAAGTTGAACGATGATTGGTAACTAACCTCAATCACGATAACACAAGTTGAACCAGAAAAATGTTCCAAAATGCAAAACACCATTCAAATAAATTAAATTAAAATATTATTCAAAGTAAGGCAATGACATTGATTACCTGTAGCATCAGGATGGAAAAGTGTGGGAGAGCTCGTTATTGGACCTTGTTGATGGATGCAGCTTGCAGAAGACCTTTGACTGGCGATCAAAATCCTACTTTTTGCAGATGGCAGCCTGGAAACTGCCCCCAGGCCCAACTGGGGCTTAAGTATCATGGCTGAACGATAAAAGCTTGGAGGTACCTCATAATGGGCATATGGTGGAGGGCAAAATTCTTCTTTCACGGGCCTTTCCCCAACCTACATGAGAATGCAAGAAATGTTAACTGCAAAAAGATAATTCTGAGATCTAAAATATATGGGTCACGTCACTGCTTATAAGAACTGAGCTAATGTTTCCCAGACTGATCATTAGTCTGGGTTTTGTGCAAAGCAGAAAGAAAAATGTGATGATCTCTGTAACAATATGGTGGCCTTCCAGTGCAACCCTAAACAGATGCAGTCAGAATCCTACTTAAGTCTATTCAGTGGGGCTTACTCCCAGGAAAGTGTTCTTAACATTGCACTGTAACCCTAGTTTTCATACCCTAATGTCAAACAGCAGCCATCCATTTTAATTATTTTTTTTCTTCATTTATAACCTGTCTTTCGCCCCCCGCCCTCGATCGGGACCCTAAGTGGCTTAGGGATGCCAGCCTCCAGGTGGGACCTGAGGATCCCCCGGAATTACTGTTGTTCTCCAGACTACAGAGTTCAGTCCCCCTGGAGAAAATAGATGCTTTGGAGGGTGGACTTTATGGCATTGTACCCCACTGAGGTCCCTGTGCTCCCCAGGCTCCATCCCCAAATCTCCAGGAGTTTCCCAACCAGGATCTGGCCACTGTACCCCCCCATGCCCTGTCAGTCCCCAGAGGGGACCTGGCAACTCTACTTACATCATTCTCCTCTCCTCCATTTTATCCTGACAACAACTTGTTCATTGTGACATGCCTTTCATTATGTAGGATACCAGGAAAGGAAACTGAACCAGTGAAATTAATTAACTATTTTTAATTGCAGGATAAACAAAGGAAGCCTATTCTAGTGTGCTCATCACTCAATGTTTTAAGAAGACAAATAAGAAAACATTTACTGTTAAGCATCTGGATAATACTACTGGAGACTGAGATGGTATGATTAATGAGTAATAAATGAACAGTGATATACAATAATTTATGAATACATTTCTCAATGTAGAACAAATGAATTAAGCTTCCTGGGTATATGTGATCCTGAATAAATTTGCACTTGTCTGAATGATTAATTAATACCTTCGTGTACCATCCCATTCCACCAAGCAACAGAAAAGCAAAATCTACACAATAAAATACTAACCATGCAAAATGTATAGTCTCAAATTTATATAGAGTAAAATAATGCAGCTGAAGGTGAATTTCCACCCCTGCTGCACTTTTTTTGGCAGAATGCATAGAGAAGCAGTTCTAAAAAAAACCCCTCATCTAAGTTAAAACAATCCCAGAAATGTATTTATCTTTTGCCATGGGTACTTTGTTACTCCTACTCAAAATATCTCGGAATAAAAAACCCCATCCCATATCTTCCCCTTCAAAACAACACAATCTAGGGGAACATGTTAGGTACTCCAGATACATCCCTTTCTGGTAACCTGATGACCTCTACTGATAACTTTAAGAATATTTACCTCACCATAGAGAGATACGTTCTTACAGTACAAAATTACCTGAGGTGCAGGTAATAGTAGAAATCATTACAATTAGATGTTTTCAGGTTCAGGGAGTTAGGGTATTCTGAAGCACAATGTCCTCTGCTACCACAAACAGGTGATCTGGGAGGGAGGAACATTTTTCTACCCCAAGATACACTGGGATTCGATTTCACATATAAATATGCCACAATATGCAAACTGCAAAGTTTATTTTACGAGCATGTTCTTAGGGCTATCCTAAACACATGACTCAAAAGAAAACCCAACTGATTCAAGGCCATTCTTACATTCAAGTACTGTGGACAATCCAGCACAATTAAAGTACTTCTATGTTGTATTTGGTTTCAGTGACAGAGTACTTAATTCTATCCCAGTAAAGTCAGTGAAATGTAAAATTGCATAGCTTTGTCTGGATCACGCCCAGTGTTTTTATGAACATGCTGTTAGCAGTGGCATTGAATTTATATAATCAAACTGTATACCTAGAGCATTAGGCACCTGTGTTTGAAAATACCCTTTGGACTCATTTCCTGTGAAGCTGAGGGCAATCTCCTGAGTCACCCAGGCCTAGTAGCACATGGCTGATGAGGTTGGTCCTTTCCAATAATCTCTTTTTACTGGTGTTGAAGGGTGATATGTAGATTGCTGGCATTCCTCGGGTCATTATTAGTTCAAAACTCACTTCAAATCCTAAAGCTGCCACTGAAAGCAGTCATCATGATTCAGCTCTATGTATGAACATGCTAGGATGTATGTATTGATAGAGAGTCCTGCAGGGTACTGATGCTATCCCCTTCTCTTCAGTATTGGGAAATGTATGCATGTCAGTCAGGGGTCATTTCGTAGAAAAAGAGCTAGGGGAACTCATTAGCATAACTCATTAGCATATGCCACACCCCCTGATATCAGGGGCCTGGCGGTGGACCTGCAAGGCCAGCAGGAGTGCAAGGAAGCCCCGCGAAGGCCCTCCCTGGCCCCAGGCAGGCAGGGGTGGGGAGAGGCGGGGAGGAAGCAACTTACCCTCCCTCTTCTCCTGCCTCCTCCTGGCTGAATGAGGGCTGGAAGCGGGGCGGCCGGAAGCAGGGGGCGGGGCTTCATCATGTGCCCCGCCCCCTGCACCTCACCCGGGGGAACTGCATTCCCCCGCGATCCCCCCCGAAATGACCTCTGATGTCAGTAAACCCCTATCAATTAAAAAGATCCAGCAGCACTGCAAGATGGAGTCATGTGCAGCTTTCAGCCATGCCACGTCTATTTATTTATTATAGCATGATTTTTGATCAAATTATCTCCAAGGCAGTCTGTCATTGCAGTTGGGCCTTACAGAAGTACTAATGAGTCGCCGCCTCTGAATGGCCCAGGTTAGCACAATCTCATCAGATCTTGGAAGCTAAGTAGGGTTAGCTCTGATTAGTATTCGGTTGGGAGACCACCAAGGACGTCTACAGGTTGCTATGCAGAGGCAGGCAATGGAAAACCACCTCTGAATGTCTCTTGAAAACCCTACAGGGTCACCATGGGTCAGCTGTGACTTGATAGCAGTTTCCATCACCACCAAGGAGTCATCAGTTGTGCTTCATTCTCTCCTTCAGGAGAAAGAACAGTATATGCATTGTTAGGGTTCCCAACCTTGCATTGGCAAATGATGGGAAATTTGGGGGGCAGTGCCTGGGAAGGGTGGAGTTTGGGGAGGATGTGATGTCACCTCCAGGTGATGCTCCAAGTTGCCACCTCTAGTATCTATGGTCTTTACCATACAGACTAGAGGAAATTCTTAGAGCATAACTATGCGGAGGCCATTTTTTCTCCCACTCCTCAATTCCTCATGAGTGGAAAACTGGGGCTAGGGGCAGGTAGTCCCCCACCCTGGGTGGATAAATGGGAGGCCTAATGTATGTTTGGACATGCACATGAATATGCATACATGTGCATGAGGAAAAGTTGTGTAAAGTTATTTTTATCAGTCCTTCCAAACCTGAAACCACCTCTAGATGTCCTCCAAGTAGTCCTCAACTTCTGGCCAGTGATGGATACCTGAGTTTCCTCTTGTCTAAGTTTCCAGAACAACACTGAAATCTACAGCAAAGTAAACTGCCTCAAATAATTCTACATCCTTTTGCATCAAGGAGCTATTACTTTGTCTGTTGCCAGGATGCTGCCACAAGGGGCAAATGGGATTGAATCTACACACCTCTCCCCCTTGATAGTCCTGCTCTGACTTCCATATGCTTCCCACCAAGTGATATTATGTGCTGTAAGCAACTATTGTACAGTATGAGGAACTGCATATGAGATATCTTGAGCACTTGTGTGAAAAGATGGGATAGAAATCCAATAAATTAAAATAGACAAACATATGTAGGTAGGATCAGGGTGTGCCCTTGGGTTCAAAAAAGTAACATACCTTTCAGTTTGCTAGGACAGTGTTTAAAGTTGGTGCTGAATTCCTATTTAAACTATACATGTTCATCAAGCCATTATCTCACTAATCAGTTTTGAGATTTTCATCTTGATGTTAACAAAAAACAGCTGTGAAGCCAGAGATAAATTTATTTTAAAAATTAATCAAAACACTTGCCAGGAGCTGAAAATGCATGACAACCTAGAATAGTTCATTAACTTTGCTGTTAAAATCACAACACACCAATGTGCTATGTTAGTGTATTTTCAAGAATATATATGCAAACTGAAAGCAGGTATAACCCCTTAGATAGTCACAGCTAAATTCAAGTATGTGTTATAGCCAGGAGATCCTAGGACTGTCTGGCAGCCTAAAGCTCTAGCTCTTTTTTCACATTGTGCAGCAAGCTAGGCTTATTGGGGGGGGGGACTGGGAGAACTGTGACTGACCCAAGGTCACCTAGCCCGGCTTCAAGTAGAGAAGGGCAGAATCGACCCCAGTTCTCCAGACTACACCACACTGGCTCCCCTCAGAATGTTGCTGATCACAGGAAAGGGGCTTGCATATGATAGGTATTGTGCTGAAGTGGGGGTGGGCCAGCCCACATGCCCACTCACTCCTTGTGAGGTAACTCAGTGTGTGGAATCATCGGAGCAGTCGGAGTGGGAGATCCCCTGCTTTCCACTCCCATTATTGACCACTACTCAGAGCAGCAGTGGAAGATTTTTTTAAAATCCTGTGAAACTCTAGGAATCGCTGGAAACTCTATGATAAAACCACAGAGTTTCTAGCAATTCCTAGCATTTCTGGTTTTTTATTAAAAGTAATGTGATGCTGCAACCAGTGTTGCATGCTCCCCCATATCCTCACCCACAGCCCCTCCCTCCAGTTGCCAGGCACTGCTTGCTTGGCAAACCTACACTGGAGCCATCTTACTCAAAAGGAATCATAGCATGGGGTTTCATCCCCATTATTTTCACGTGCGATACACAAGAAAATATATGGAAAACTTTATCTGGACCTAACATCTGTATTTTAATCTCTGTTTCATGTTCAAATGTTCAACCATTAATTTTAGCCCTTTAAAAGTTGATTATATCTAAATAAAATTAGCAACCATTTTTTGGGGGTACTCAATTTTATAAATTATCTGAAAGGTCAATTACATTTTGTTATATTAGTAGACTAGTCAATGAATGCATGCATGAATGAAATTATTTCACTTTGAAAGATCTTTTTGCTTGTCTTTAAATTCACAGCTGCTGAATTCATTCTAGAAATTCTTTCCAAAAAGTATATCCAACTAATTTTTTTCCTCCAATTAACATACTTTGCCCAGAATTCTTCATACACTCTGAATAATCCTGCTGTATCGGATATGAATGCCGCAACAGTAAATTCTTTTTAAAACTAGAAAGGGATTCTGCAAATACAGAGTTAATGCATTTTTAATCAGCTTGGCTTATCTATGCAATGCTGCAAGCTTGCTTGCTTTTTATCTTTTGTAGGTAGCACAGTAGAGAAGCTCATGGAAATAGAAAACGGTTTCTCTAACTTCAAGGATGAATCTTAACTAAATATTTTAAAGGGAATAAATGTTGTTTAGCAGAAAATTGTGTTGTTGTTTTTAAAAATCAAGCATTTAACTGTCTGGGGAAAAATATTTTAACACATATTGGATAAATGATTTCTTTCTTCTCTTCATTCCATATGTGCAGCACATTTACTCAGAATTAAGTTTCACCTCATACAATACAAGGATCAGCCAACATTACCATTTTTGTTTCTTTTTGATTTCATTCTTTGTTATTGGATTTGATTCCTCTTGGTTCATTACAGTCTAGAGAAATTACCAGATTCAACAGACATTTAGCTTGTTGTGGCAACTAGGTTGTTCTTTGATCAAAATAGAATATGTGCCTTGCCTTACATTGATACAATAAAAATGCCAGTATATACACTGGTGGTGGTAGTAGTTGTTTTAATTTGAGGAGGTTGGCAATCCAGGAATTAGTGCCTCTTGGCCCAAATTGAATATATTAAATGCACAATTTGGTTTCATTCTAACAGGCTGGGTTCAGTTCTATGGAGACTCTGAAGGACCCCTCTAAAATCCATTACAACACAGGTTGCCAACCTCCTGGTTGAGGCTGGAGATCTCTCAGAATTACAACTAGCCAGAATACAGAGATTATTTCCTCTGGAGAAAAATGGATGCTTTGCAGGGTGGATTCTATGGCATTATGTTCTACTGAGGTTCATCCCCTCCTCAAACCCACCCTTCCCAGGCTTTGCCCCCAGATCTCCATAAATTTCCCAACCTGGACTTGGCAACCTTAATTACACCAAAGACTAGCCCTGAAAACAACTTGATGATGATAACTGAAAGCCATGCAGTAATTAGTCATCAAGAAACTTCTCTAAGGATGAAAGTTAGGGATGCCAGGCCTACCAACATCCTGACTCAGGAAACGGCAGGAGAAAATGGATTGTGCACCAGCATCACACTGGCGCACTTACGTCACAGCGGTGATACAATCTAGCATTTGTAAGTACAAGAGCATCTACCAACGTCACTTCCTGTTTTTACCAGGAGTTATATAAATATGCAGGGCCACAATGCTGGTAGGCCCTGCCTCCAATTCCTCCTGGGGGTTGCTGGCTGTGGCCTGGCAACTCTAAGGTTGAGTCTGACAGTGCAAACTCTCATGTGCTTTACTGGATATAGCAGGGGCTACAATGAGCTGCATCAATATTAAAAGTCCCCTTGCACAGTTACAGAGGTCATGTGACAATCAGCTATTACATGTCCCCCAGGGATCCAAATCTACACAGACAGGTGTTTTATGTGCCACAGTCCAAAGAGTTCTTTGCACATGCACAAATAATTTCTCTGATACACAAGGAAGCGACTGGTTTCCTGATCAGGCTGTATGTAGGTCCTTATGACATATTAAACATGCTCCAGGCTCCAGAAGATCTTTGTTGCCTCCAGAACAAGCTTTAAGAAAGGAGCAAGAAGTTGGTGTTGGGCAAAAACCTTGCAACGTGCATGAGACAAAGAACACAGGGCACTTTGGGTCCTGGCCATGAATTCCTCACTTAAGACTGGCCCAGAAGTTCTGTGACAGTTCATTCGAACATGACCCAGACTTTTTCCTTTAACATGTCCCTTGGTCTATTGCCAAGAGAAATATTATTTCTGCCCTTAAACTAGAACTACAGGATCTCCTGCCATTATTTTACTGGCTTTTAATCTTTTGTAGAAAATTTGAAGATACATTCTGTACAGAAAGCATCTGTAGATAATGTAAATGCTTTTACATAACTGCTGCAGCAATCTAGCAGGGTTAGCATTAATTCATGTTAACTAGGGATCCCAAGTCCCCATGGGGGGCGGGGAAACCCCTGCCCCAGAGGCCCGTTCCCTGGCGGCGCTGGATCGGCCCCCGGGGGGAACTCCACCCCGACGTGCACGTCACCCGGAAGTGACGTGGACATGCCGGGCACGTTGGGGGCGGGGCCACGGCCATACAAGGAAAAACTCTATGGTTTTCCCTTGTATGGCCGTGGCCCCACCCCCAGCGTGCCTGGTGTCCTCCCGTCACTTCCGGGTGACGTGTGTGCGGTGCGCACACGCTTTGTGCGCGTGCGCATGCACAAGACGCTGGCCGGGAGTCCCCTGCTCCTGGCGAAGATACACTTGGCAACCCTAATGTTAACACAACTTCTGCAAAGACTAAAATGTGGCACAGACCACTTCCTCAAAAATTAATTTACATGATTGCAGCTAGGCTTGTGGGCTTCGGAGGTGGGGAGAATACCTGGAGATTTTGGGTACAGAGCCTGGGGAGGGTGCAGTTGGGGAAGGGAGGGGCTTCAGCAGGGTACAGTGCCGTAGACTCTAGCCTCTAAAGCAACCATTTTCTCCAGGGGAACATCGGTAGATCAATTGCAATAGTGGGAGATCTCCAGGCCCCACTTGGAGGTTGGCAAACCTAATTACACTAGACCAGCTTACAGTGCTTTTCTGTCATGGGAGAAGAGCATGAGTGAGGGGTCCCTAGGAACAGGGTGAACCAGCTGGGAAAGATTCCTTGGAGGAGTACGTTATGGGGTGTTTGTGATTGTAGGATTCATTCAGTCTCCTCCAACACAGCTAGCACTGATGACGAGAGGGTCCCTCTTCAGCAGCCATGGTAAAATGGATTACATTCATTAAAAAAAAATAAAAGCCATGTAGTATTCTAAAATCAAGCAGATAAAGATTATTGGCCATTTTCTTTTCCCCCTTTTTTAAAAAGGAAAGGAAGGTATAGGAGAAAGGAGAAATTTAAGAAAGTGGTCTATATTAGAACCATTTTGTTCTCCATATCCCATGCCAATGTAACACTGCATTATTAAACACACACATTCAGTTATCCAAATGTCTTGTGCTCCCCCCCTCCTCACACTCATGTACTTTATTTTCCACTGGAAAAGCCAGTGGACGAATGCAAAGATCATACATGGCTGAGTCTTACCTCTTGTAGAAACTTTTCACCCATTTGACTGAAATGGTGGCCAGAGGATTTAATGCCAGACACCATGAGTCCAGAACTGTAAATCCGAGGTTTCTGCAGGTCAGGTTTAAACTTGTCATAGAGCATGTTAGCTGGCTTAATCTCTCCATCATTCGAGTTATTTGATTCCTTTGTGACTGGCACACCACAGCCTGGTGGCCCATAGGGTAATCCAGATGTGGTGAATGAATGGTCAAGCTGGCTGATAGCTTGGGGGTTTCTTCTGATGTAAGTGATGATTTTAGGTCTCACGTGTTTGGGTTTGGGGACGTCTGGCTTTGTCTCAACATTTTCTTCCGGCTTTTCAATACAGTTTGAATGGATTCCATCGCTCTTAGATGGATGGGGGTCATTGGAATTTACAAGGATTGGCTTAGGGATGCTGCTATTGCAGGCAGTCTTATTAGGCACTTTTGCGGATAGGCTTAACAACTGTGTACCATCAAAGGGAGGTAGGACTGCGGTGGGTGACAGCTTGTCAACATGAAGTGCATAAAGATTTTTCAAATTGCCATTGGATAGTGTGGGGTGAGTATTAGAGTTCACAGTTGCTACAGGGCGCAAAGGAGTTGGGGCACATACAAAGGTATCTGTTCTCGAGGATACATTACAGCTCTCCAGGAGGTCATTTGATATGTGTTTCTTCATAAGTGTCTTCTTGCCCTGAACTGAAAAGCTTGCAGTTTCTAAACCATTGTCCTGGATGTTGGAATGTTCATCTAATTCACTTTCTGTATCGAGCATTTCTGGTTGTTCCGGGAGATCAGAGGCAGGCCCAGCAAAGTGTTCGCTGTTCTCTTTGATTAGCATCAGCTTACTCTCATTATCATTCAAATGTTTGCCGTCAGGTGGATTAATGCTATGTACAAAAGACATATGCCCACCAACTGCTTGAGAACAACTTGAATCAGTGTCATGCATGTTTTCGTTTCTTGTTGGTGTCAGTTTGCTACTGGGTTTGTTCTCATCAGTAAGACAGAACGCAGCATCTGCCTCCTTTTCAACTACATATTTCTCCCTAACTTGATTCACTGCCTCACTCTCACTATGGCTACTTCCTCTTCCTAAACTAGAATAGTTATTACCACGTAATGATCTGTCATTCATGGAGTCAACCACCTCCTTTGAGTACGGATCATCATCTTGCGAGTGAAGGGACTTCACTTTGTGTACTTCAGCCTCATAATCCTTTTTATACTGCACCACATTATTTTCTTCCCTTTGACATCTAAGAAACTCGGCCATTATAACCCTGTCCATTTTTTGCTGACAAAGACTCCTAGGCTGTGAAGACAGAGGACTCTTCAACTCCCATTTCCCTCTCCTATCAGCCTTATGATCTAATTGTGCTTCTGATCTGCTCCAAATATCATTGGACTTAACAGTTAAATGCTGATCTGCATGAGAAGGATGTGATGTGCTTTGTTTGATGAAATTTGGTGCACTGTCCACACTCATTTGTGTTGCAGAAACATTTATTTTCTTTGTTTCCGAGGTAGATTTAGAATAACGCATGATATTTCCATCTGAGGCCATACCTAAAAAATGGTCCACTGATGCTTTCTGAGATGTTTCAGTATCTCCAGTCAAATGATGTGAAGTGTCGATGGAATCCAGAGATGCAGAAAGCAAACGCTTACCTGATACACGGCCAACAAATTCTCTTCCAAAAGCTTCTGTTTTAGCCGTAAGTTTCCTTGACCTTCCCAAGGAAAGACGTTTTATCCCTTCAGGCTCAATCCTTCTGGGCATTCTGTCCTTTGAAACATGCTGAATGAGATCAGCATCACTTTTTGAAAGAACCACTGAAAATGTATCATTTGTGTTAATCCTCAAATTGGACAAACTATGTCCCCGGCTAATAGGGACTATCTTTGACATGTCCTTAGCCCCATCGGCTCTATAATCCTTATGTAGTTCCCTGTTGGTGGTAGTGGGCAGTCTCACCTCTGACACACCAGTAGTATCCTGAAGTCTGTTCCTCTCTGAATCGAGTTGTGTGTTATTTTCTGGTTTGCCAATGTTCAAGCGAGTTTCTCCTGCCAAATCATTGGTCCCCACCTTCCTTCCAGGGGTTCTAACCTCTGAGGTTATTTGATTGGCATTTGTGTCTCCTATAGTCACTGTGTTTTCATTGTTATTTTTCATCTCATTTCTATTGTCCTGTATTAGATTGTAGCACGACTTGTTTGGAACCAATGGTGTATTCATTTTAAAATTCAGATGACAGCAGTTGTAGATGGCAAAACTTTCTTTGACTACATTAGCCCTCAAAGCATGCTTCTCTGAACAGTTCAAGTTACACACTAATCAGCAAAAAATTCCTTGGCAAACCACTTGTTACTCCGGTAAGTCACATCCTTCTGCCAGTTCAGTCTCCACTAGTGGATTCAGGACATCCAAACAAAATTAACAAATACAAAATATGTCCATTAGAGTCCTTCTCAGTGCAAGATGGTCCATTGTACCTAAAGGAAAAGAAACATGATATTATGCCAATTTCTGTTTGGAAAATTATGTAGCTAGCAAAACTCAGGGTCTATTGAGTATATTCCTCCATGTTTTTGACAACTACCCAGTGTTTGAGATCCATGGCTTTACAACATGTTTTTACCCACCAAAAAACTGAGGGTAATGTAGTGCACAAAAAAATGTGAGCTGCAAAGTGCCTTGTCCAACTTTGTTGGTCTTAAAGGTGCCATTGGATTAAAACTTTGTACAATTTTATACAGTTACTATATACATTGTTGTTTGTCTCATTTGTTTTCAGGGGTGGTTAATTTACAAAGACAGCTTCCTCCAAATCTACTTCCTCTTAATCTAATCTTGGCAGTAGCTCCTCTGCAGGGCCAGCCCGAGGTGTTCCTGCACCCTAGGCGAGCGCAGATGCCAACCTCCCAGTGGGGACTGGAGACCTCCCAACTGGCGTGCGGCACCTTGGGGCGGAGCTTGGCTTTGCCACCCACTCCCTGGGCCTTGCTGTTGAAGCACCCACCACGCCTCCTCCTCCTCTGCTGGGGCAGTGCTGCAGAGCCTGAGTTGACAGGGTGCCCAGCATGGAGGGAGGGCAGCGGAGGGGATGCCGGTGGCCAGCCCCATCTCGGTCCTTACCTGCGGCACCTAGCAGCAGCACCACCATTAGGGCAAGCAGCAGCAGCAAGAGGTGGCCACCCATGCACTCCACCACCGCTCCGGCTGCCCAGCCCCATTGCCACCACCGTGCACAGCCAGGACTTGGGGCCCACCCCCCTCTGCCCAGCCAGTGCAATCTAGGGAAAGGCTGCTGCTGTTGCTGCTGCTGCTTGGGCGGCTTCTCTGAGCCCGAGCCAGGCGAGATATCGGCTCCGAGGCCCCCCCTGGGGCACCGACTGCGGCACGGGAAGGAGGGTAGGGAGGCAGAAAGGTGGGCGGAGAAAGGTGGGCGGGTATGGGAGGTGGAGTGGAGACCTCGGAGGGTGGACCTTGGCACTTCCTGGCAGCGTGGCACCACAGCTGGCTGGCTGGCTTGAGGGGGCGCACGGTGCCTAGCTTCATGGAGAGGGCGCTCCTCTGGCTCCCAGTGCCAGGAGCATGCCAGGCTCCTGTGGACTACCCCTGCCTCTCCTCCTGCGCCCTAATGGCCGGCCCGTGCTCTAGGCGAATGCCTAGTTTGCCTAGTGGGTGAGCCGGCCCTGCTCCTCTGCTACGGTTACTAACATCGGGGTAGTGCCTAAAATTAAGAACATAAGAAAACCAGGCCTATAGCCATGATTTTTTTGTTCAGGGGTATTTAAATCTTTAAGGGGGCAGTTAAATTATAGCTAATTGAATTAATCTGAATGCCTGCTTTTAAAGGGGGAGGCTCCAAGTCTGTTTCTAGCCCTTCCTTTCAAGAGACAGGGCAGCGAGTATGTCAATTCCTAGGGGAAAACAGTTCAGAGGACATTTAATTGCCTTCAGAAGGCATTTAAATTTCTTTTAAGTTCCACAGGGCAAGAAAGCATAGAAGGGCACTCAAGAGTGGTACCTTCAATACATCTCCAACAATCCCCCTCTCTGCTAGCCCAGTCCTGCTGTGTACCACCTAGGTCACGGTGAGTCTTTTGAAAGCATTCCCATGAGCCTTTGGGAAACACACAAATTAAATTCCTTGTGGAAGGGAACTCAAAAGGCAATTAAATGCCCTCTGAGCTGTCTCTTCTCGGGTCCCATGATGCCCCCCAAATTCCACAGTGGGAGGGAGAGGGAAGCCCAAGGACAAACCATGGCACTGTCATCCTGGCCACTGCCTGGCCACTGCCAGCACACTGCCAGTGTGGGGGGTCTCTCCTAAAAAATAAGGTTTCTGGCATGGATATTTGTGGGGTGGGGCTTTTAATTAAGGGGGCAGGGTCCCAAAATGCCCCACTGTAGCTACGAGCCTGAGAAGACCCCTGCTGGATCAGAGCAGTGGTCCATCCAGCCCAGCATCCTGTCACAGACAGTGGCCAACCAGTTTCTCTGGAAGTCAAACAACAGGATATAGAGTCCAAGGCCTTCCTCTGGTGTTGCCTCCTGGTGCTGGTATTCAGAGCTTTACTGCCTCTGGATATGGAGGTTCCCTTCAGTCACTATGGCTAGTTCTACTAGAATTACAATTGATTTCCAGACCACAGAGATCAGTTGGAATTACAATTGATTTCCAGAGTACAGAGATCAGTTTCCCTGAAGAAAACAGCCACAGGTCAGATTCTATGGCATCACCTCCCTCTCCTCCACAAACTCTGCTCTACCCAGGCACCACTCTCAAATCTCCAAGAATTTTCCAAGCTGGTGTTGGCAACCCTACCTACTTTTCAACTACTAGCCATTGTAGTTTGTAGTCTGTTCTTTTCTAAGTGGTGCTGAAGGCACCAGGTCTCAGCCAGTTTTCTACCCATCCAATTATTGTGTGAATGCAAGGCTATATTACTGTGTATCCCTATGTGCAAATAACTCCACTGAGAACAGTGGGCCTTGGTCCCTCACAGTACTTACATGTGAATGCATGGAAGACATTTCCTCATGTTACAGTCAATCTGTCTGGATTATGAGGTGTATTATAATCACGTGGACTGGTACCATCACATGGACCTTTGCTATGATATTATCAATCTTTCTTCTACTTTGCCATTTCTGGTGCCTTTGCCTTCCCAATCCTGCTAGCTTCAGAGTTCTCTAAATCAAAGAAGCCAAATTATCTCTATGAAGCTCATAAACCCCTGGTGGATCCCCCCAACATTTCCATGCTGGTGTGGCAAGTTTTAGTTTTATTTATGGCCGAAGCCAGCAATTGACATTTGAAAACACTACAAACTTAGTAGTAAAAACACCTATGATTAAAGGTAAAAAGACTTAATAGAACAGTAAAACATTATAAAATACATAATAAATTCCTTACCAACATTTCCATGCTGGTGTGGCAAGTTTTAGTTTTATTTATGGCCGAAGCCAGCAATTGACATTTGAAAACACTACAAACTTAGTAGTAAAAACACCTATGATTAAAGGTAAAAAGACTTAATAGAACAGTAAAACATTATAAAATACATTATAAATTTCTTAGGAGGTAGACGGTTAACAATAAAACAATTAACATTTAACTTGCTGCGTTATTATGATTTTCTCATTCTTAAAGCACTCCATCCAAATCTAGCCACTTGGTGTGTTACCTCTGAGTGCCTATCTGCAAGGAGATTTTTCATAATACGAGCTCTTTGCCTGCTGGTAAGAGATAAGAACTTGGGGAATGGAAGAGATTTCCGGAGATTATCATAGGCCTCACAGTCAAACATAACATGTTCTAGATTTCAATGCCTACATTACAGCAGGGGCATATGTGTTCCTCAAATGGGATTTTCTTGTACTAGCACATAAGTGTAAATGTTCTCCTATATTCGTGGTTTGACAGATGGTAAAAATAGGCCATAGGAGTTACTCTGTTGATGGAATCAAGAAGTGTGTGCCATTTCTCTGTTCTGCTTGTATCGTTCTGCCTATCAATATCCGTAATCCTCTGTTTTATCAATTCTCTAGCTTTGTCATAGGCAAGGGAACACAGATATTGTTTTGTGAGGCCAAAATAAGGGAGTTTCTCCTCTATAGCCT